GATGAAGAAAGAACATTTTGTGTCTTGGTTACAGAGAGTGGTGATAGTGAAGATTTTTATGTTAAAGGGTATGACATTGCAGTGAAAGCTATTGCTGAGCTAAAGGATAAATCTTACCAACTCAAGTTTGCTTCTAAACAAAAAGGAAAGGAAGATGAATTAGCAAACAAGTTACTTCATTGTGGTATTGGTCGTAATCAGCTAATTATCTGCAGCTTTGATGAAAACAGGGAAACATTAGCCAACTTATTCTCTGCTGTGGATATTGCTATATTTCCCTCAAAAACTGAGGGATTCGGGTTGAGCTCTCTTCAAGCTATATCCGCTGGTCTTCCAGTACTTGTCAGTGGCAACTCAGGAATTGCAGAAGCCTTAAGGAAGGTGCCTCTTGGGTCACAGTGTATAGTGGATTCAGAGGATCCTGCTGAATGGGCCAGAGCAATCAAGGCTGTGCGTTACAAAGAAAGGAATGTACGACTTGCAGAGGCTAGGATTCTTCGCGAAAACTATTTGCAGCAGTTCAGCTGGGAGAAGCCCTGTAATTCCCTTGTTGAAAAGATGTACAGTCTTGCATTTGGTAAGTTTTGTTATCTTGCATTAAGGATGTAGAAGTTTTAATCAAAGGAAAAGTGGTGTAGCAGCCCTCTAGTAACAAGGACCTGCAAGCAGACTGTCATCCAATATGTTTGTTTGGATGATTTAAAGTTTAATTTGATATTAATGGACCTGAAGTACAATTTTAAGTTAGACACTTTGCTCTAAATCAACAGATCAAAAATTAAACATCAAAGTTGGTGTGGAACATATCAAACTTGCAGATCATGATGCTTATAGTACAGCTTCAGTTTCAGCTCTAGAGCCAGCAGGATATCAGAAGGCATCCACAGCTTCAGGCACAAAGAGAAAAAGACAATCTGATACAGATTTAGAAGATCTAGAACTACTCCAAAAGAAAACCCTGTGCTTAATTGCTATAAATTACCTTAATACTACACCACCTCAGAACAGGGATGAACGCAATGAGTTTGAGGAATACTTAGATAAAATGAAGGTCCGCATATTAGATGTTTCTGTCAATAGTTTGGTAATAACAGTAAAGTGCGAATCTCTCAAGAGCTTGGAGGAATTATGGGAAGATTACTCATGCGGCCTTTTGGATAAGATGGTTCGAGATTGTTTTGTGACTGAAAAGATCTTGAAGGAACTGAACCTGGCAGAACTGAAGCTGAAAACAACAATGGACATAGAAGAGTACAATGCATGCAAATTGTACTTTCTTGAGAAGGATGCACTCAGAGGTCAGTTGAAAGAAAGAAAAAGGCCTGGTCCTTTGCAAAAATGTTTTGAAATGATTAAAAACACCAGGCATTACTCATTCAACATAGTGCACAACAGGGTTAACACACATGTAAAGAGGGTCCAAGTTTTGTTCACTGTAGAACCAATTATATCATGAATAAGCTCATGCTGACTATGTAAGCCATGACAATCTGCAGCGAGAAGGGATTTGTTTTCTATATTTTTCCTATATTTTCCTTACTGTCTGGTTGTGTTTGTCTTTGCCCCAAATATAAATTAAGATAAAAACAAGCTGAAATAAAAATTGGCAAGATTTTATTGGAGGAGCTCTAAAAGAAATTGTTACCCATATTTGTGTGTGGGATTTTTACAAAAACAATTGGAGGTGTCTTTCATTGTTTTAAATGTTAGTATTCAATGAT